CTGTTTTAAGGAATAGAGCCAGGATTTCAAAGCAAGTATTTCCACCAAAGTCTTTATGATTCCCGAGCAGGATCTAAGGATGAACATATAAATGTATGAACTGGAATGCCCTACTGCCTCATTGGCTGGTCAGGGCTGGGCTGGGTGTGCTTGCCTGATGGCTACCCAGAGGCTTCCAGGTATGTCCTAAAACTTCTGAGTCAAAGGAGATAGACCTACCCTTCCAGACCAAGGACTCTCAAGAGAGCATGAGCAGCCCCTCTCCCCAGCCTGTACCTTCCAATCGCAAACCTATATTCATCAAAATCATCACACTGATTCTCAGCTCCTGGAAAACGAACTCAACATGGAGTCATATATTCCACGTGTTCTTCAAGGATGCTGCCTGCAACCTTGCTTACAATAGCCAAATTGTAAACAACATGAATGCCTAACAGCAGAGTGGTTAAATTATAGTACAATTATCCGATGGAGTACCATACCATGCAGCTGTGAAATGATAGATGTGTACCGTTAAAGTGAAAAAGGTATATATGTGTGTGCCTGTAAGTATAGGAAATTCACTGAAGGGCATTTATTCATTCAATCCATGTGTTAGGCATTTTAAGGTATATGAGAAACTTACTAATAGTAGTTACCTGTGAAGAGTGAAACTTCAATAAGTTTCTGTACTTTTTTTTTTAAAAAAACAATCCCTCCATTTTATAAATTCAAAAGAAAAAAGTTTGGTATAACAAGGAGAAACATCCAACAGGTCCTTGATAGGGGCAGAGTTGTAGGAAACAGGCAGTAAGGGGATTTGGAATACCTGCAGTTCTGCAGCGAGCGTGGCAGTGGGACACACTACTTTCAGTCTCAGATCTAAAGGGCGAGACGGGTGGGAACCCACTCTAGAACTCGAAACAGCGAGGGCTGATGAGAAAATAAATACCAATTAACTGCTGGCAGCGCAAGTCTTCCTAACCACACGAATTTGAGCTGTGTATCTGTAGGTGATGTGAAACCGAAGCAGAGGAAGCGGTTGCCCTTGATCTCCGAGGTGAGGCTTATACACGGGGTCAGCTTCCAGTTGGACCCGACTCTGAATTAGGAGGACTCTCCCAATTTTACCAGAGGCAACTCGGGTTCCCAGAGGTCACAGGGCTAGGATGTGATTTCTACCCAGAGCTGCCCTCAAAGGCACCTAAGAGTTACACTCCGGCAAGTAACTCCCATCCTGAGTAATTCTGCAGACACCTGTCACCCCCGGCGTCAGGTCCACAGGCCCGGGACGCGACGTCTATGCGGAAAGAGGTGGGGTGCCGAGCCCTGGACTCCGCACGACTCTGCCTTCCGCATCCCAGTCCCCGGACTCGAGGAATCGGGAGCTCGGCGTGAGCTCCGCCCTCGCTCACTGCGTGCCTGTCATTTACACTCCGCAGCCCGTGCCGGTCTTGAAGATGAGGGAGCTAGAAGGTCCATGGCCAGGATTCCCTGGCACCTTGAGTTTCCTTTTGTTAGGGCTCGACGACGGCTTGGCTCTGCAAGCTCGCAGATACTCAAGCACCAACGCCGACGCCTCCCGCGGAGACACCAGGGAGACTGGCCCGCTCCCTTGGGCTCTCAGGCAGGGCGCGTGCGCAGTGCGCGCGAGCGGCGAGGGCGCGGCTGGCCCGGGTGCGGCTGCGCAGAGGCGGTGCTCGGCCCTGCGCCTGCGCAGTGGCGGGGTGGGGCGGGAAAGAGGGAGGTGGTGGTGGCGGCGGCGGCGGCGGCGGCGGCTGAGGAGGAGGAGGAGGAGGAGGAGGAGGGGGAGCGGAGGGAGGTGTTTCTGTCAGTTCCGGCTGTTTGTTCGGGAAGTGGATCCGCCGCTGCCGGAGCAGCCCGGAGGGAGCTGCGGATCGCGAGGCCAGTACCGACCCCGCCCGCCCGCGCGCACCGCCCCCGCCCGCCA